CAAATGCTGTAACTTCCATACCAGCAGTTCATCTAACTGGGAAACCCAGGAAGCTTGCTGTTTCTTGGATGCCTGCAAAGTGCTGAAAACGCACCTGCCCGCTTGAATTACCCCACTGGAGTTCGCCTTTCTTACCCAAGATGATCCGACATTCCATCCAGGGTCTGGGCTTTCTCCTGGTGTGTTTATTACATTTCAACGACATGACAAGCTTTGTGTTTTAAAGGGTGAGGACATATAAGTTTTTCCCGGGTGTTTTAGTGCATCTTGGGGGTCTTTGAGTCCCTGTTGAAATGGGGTCGTGGTGCCCGGGGTGAGGGGCGACCCCTGTGATGTTCCTTCTCTGAACACACTCAGCGTGGGTCTCGCCGGGGTCAGGGTGAAGCCGGGTCGCTTGGGTCTGTTCGCAGACCGCGTGGACACATCCAAATTCTACTTGTCCAGGAGTGACTTAGCAATTTGGCCGGGAATCGACCAGGAAACCCCTGGTCAGGGAGCGGAGGTCGCGGTGTGAGTGAGGGTGACTTGGCCTGCGGGGCTGTGCCCTGCCCTCGGGGGGCCTGAGGTTCCCATGAAACAACCGCTCCTGTCTCCTGGGTTGTCCCGGGCCCTGGGCAGACCAGTGTCTCTCAGCAAGACACAGAGTGAGGCCACAGGGACCGGGCGTCACCGCGTCCCAGAGTCCCCGTCCTGTTCCTTCCCAACCAGGCTCACGCCTCACCCCACAACACAACGCTGGACTCCCAAGAAGACTCTCAGGGAGCTGCCGTGTGCCCAGCAGCCCAGAAACCAGTGTCACCGTGCCGCGCAAGGGCCGATCTTCTGTCTCCTCGTCCCTGACTGACCTCTTCAGCCAGGCACCGACCTCCCCGGCACTTCCCACCGCCCAGAGACAGCCCCCGCGCGTCCCACTCCCCTCCTGGGACTGTGGCCTTGACTGTGGCCCAGGGCGGCACTGGGGACTCGGTGGGGAGAGGCCGACTCAGACGCTGTCTCCCCAGTGCTGAGCAGCCTGGCCTCATGCCGGGACTGCGCAGGGAGTCAGACCCGCGCCGGGCCTGGGACCCTGAGGGCCCCGTGAGCCCGGCTCACTCCTCCTTCCCTTCTGGGGTGTGTTTCCAGTCGTCTGTGCACCCTGTGCCATCACCACAAACGCCATCACCGCAGGTGGCTTCCAGAGGGCAGCTACTGGCTTTCCTCAGGAGTCAGAGATGGCTGCTCGGGACGGCTGTCTTGTTGGGGGAACCGGACTCCCTCGGTGGCGCTGACCTGAGGGCCTGCACTGTGCCCCAGCCTGAGCCCATGACCGCCCCGTGGGGAAGACACTGGGGTCCTCTCTGCCCTTCTGAGCCCCACACCCCACCCTGTGTGCCGTGAGGCAGCGGGT